TATATATATACCACATCTTCTTTACCCATTCACCTGTCGAAGGACATCTCAGCTTCTTCCATGGTTTGGCTATTGTGGACATTGCTGCTATGAACATTGGGGTGCATGTCCACCTTCTTTTCACTACATCTGTATCTTTGGGATAAATACCTAGTAGTGCAATTGCTGGGTCATAGGGTAGCTCTATTTTTAACATCTTGAGGAAACTCCATACTGTTTTCCAGAGTGGCTGCACCAGCTTACATTCCCACCAATGGTGTAAGAGGGTTTCCCCCTTCACATCCTCGCCAAAATTTGTTGTTTTCTGTCTTGTTCATTTTAGCCATTCTGACTGGTGTAAGGTATTTTTAACTGCAACTATACAATAATTATTACCAGTCCTTGTATTATTATGGCAACCACAAGGGAAAAATAATTTCAGTCGGTTATTCGATTGAGCTAAGGATTAGATCTAATATTTTCAAGGAAGTATTCAGCAACCAAGTTTACTTGCCTGCATCCCTGTCAAACTACAGACTCTGTGAGGTCAAAGATTTGTGCCCTATTCGCTACTCTCTTGTCAGAATGGCAGGACAGTGTCTGCTGTGGAGGAGGTGCTCAGTAACTATTTTCAGAATACATGATTGATGAATGAGAAAAATGAGCAAATAAATATACTCCAGGAGTCCTGTGGTACAGGCTTCTGACAGAAAAAATCTCAAGTCAGGAATCCTGAATTCAAATTCCAGTCACTTGGATAAATGGCTGAAGAGGTTATGGTATGTGTGCATATATATTGTGTGTATGTGTGTGTGACTATTATATATATATATGATATATAATATCATATATATATATGATTATTCACCCTTAAAAAAGAAAGAGATCCTGCCATTTGCAATAGCATGGATGAACCTGGAGGACATCATGCTAACATGAAGTAAGCCAGACCCAAAAAGAAAAAGAAAAATGGCATGATCTCACTTATATGCAGCCTCTAAAAAAGCCAAGTAAATATACGGAAGCAAAGAGTAGAAAGTTGGTTGCCAGGGGTGCGGAGGTGTGGGGAGTGGGGAGATGCTGGTCAAACTGGACAAAGTTGCAGTTAGGATGAATAAGTAGACACATCCAATGTGCAGCCTAATGATGGTTCATCATATTGCGTGGAATACTGAACATTTGTAAAGAGCATAGATTCCAGGTGCTGTCATCCCATACACACAGGAAAAAGGAACTATGTGAGAAGATATGTTAACTAGCTTCAATGTAGTCCTCATTTCCCTCTGTATACGTATATCAAACCATCGTGTTGTACACCCTGTGTACCCATGTTATGGTTTTAAAAAGTAAAACTAAACAAATCCCAATCACAGTCACCTTGTCTGAGCTGAGAAAAGACCTGTGGTCACACTGGGCTGCAGTTTGCTGTTTAGGGAGAGAGGGGCTGGATTTGTCCATCTCCAGGCCCCTCTGAGCCTGAACCTCCCCATCCGGTGCATGTGCACATGGGTTTCTGAATCACTCCCGAGCTGGGAGCACCTGGGAGGCAGGATGCTGTGGGGCTGTAAGCACCAGCACTCAGCACCAAGCCCAGGGCTCCTCCTGCCACTTCTATTCGAGTACTTTTAATTGTTAATGCATTACTAATTGAGGAGGATTTAGCATATTTAACTGTTTTGATTAAAAAATGCTTCACCAGTAATAAACAAAAGTGGGGGAAAAGCATTTACAGTCAGAAGCCAGAGTGATTACAAGGGGACTGGTGGTGGAGGGCTGCCAGCCTATGGTGGCAGGGCAGGCTGATGACTGGGATGGAGGGTGCTGGAGGGGTCCTGCAGAGCCCT